CAAGGGGCACGTACGTACGTTGCTCGTTTCTCAGCTATAGAAAAGTAAAAGGTTGTGTAGCAGACTGCTTTCACAAATCACAATGGTGTGCTCACTCTTAGCTATTGTTCTGATTTACTCTTTTAGTATTCTCTTGCTTTTTTAAAAATTTTTGGCCATAGAAGAAGCTCTTTGCCTCTAAAGTTTTTGTACTTCCTATTGCTAAAATAATTCACGTTTTATCCCCAAAAAATAAAAGAAATCGTCGGTGGGATTTTATTCTCTTCATACTTCAGAATCTCATATGCTCAAAATTTCATAGAAGCTTGTATTGATGATGTAGGAAACATCGATATGTATATAGTCTAACGTGCGCATGCATGCATTATGAGATTTAATTCGCGGAATTTAGAAGAATTTGAATAGGATTCTTTCTTCGTAGCTTCTACGAGAAGAAGAACTTATTAAATTACAAATCGTGATTCTGGGACTTAAATAGTCTATAAATATATTCTTAATTATGACCACTACTTTCAGATAGTTCGATTTACATTTGATTGAAGCTTATATATTATTATTAATTTTTGGATAACGATTTTTCTTTTTTAAAAATAGTATCTTTTGTTACTACTGGTGGCTAGTCCATGCATGGAACCCAAATCATTCTTCCCACCCCGGAAGCCGAACATAGCATTTTAAAAACTTTTTTTTTTTGTGTGGGCAGAAACATTAAAAACTCTAATGCAAGTCCAGTAACAATGAAACAATATTTTCATATACGACCGAACAAACCACACTTTAATGTAGGGTAACATATATATGCGTAAATTTGTATGGAGTTAGAAAGATAGATATATGTATGCGTCAATGGAAAGAATGACAATAAGGCAAGGTTCAAAGAAAAATTCGGAACCGACAGCTCACGTGTAACGAATCAAGAGTGTCTCTACCTAACATGTATGTGGATCCCTACGAGAGGCATAATAGTATCATATGCAAATAATTGTCCGCATCATGCACGTACGGTAATGATCTCGTCTATCGATCGAGTCCTTAATTACGTATGTTATAAATTTTATAGAAACTGGCTTATGGGATCGAGCACGATTACATATATACTCGAGACAGTTCTTAATTAGCAAAGCAAGAAAAGACTGAATATTAACCATCGATCAAATCGATTCATCCCCAATTACCATCAATTCCTTTTATGATTAAGTTTGCACTTTAAAGCACATATACATTTCGGTATGCATGTAAGAGTCGAGAGACACATGAGTTAATATTCTTTGACCATATGTCACATTCACATGACAATTTTGGATGCTGGATCAACGAGCTCTTATTGTAAACCACCAAACGAGTAAATTCGACGACTGTGCACTTTATGGAGGAAGAAAAAAAAAAGCATAGTATATAATTGTAAACCTGTCAGTCTAAAAGATATATATATATGAAAAGAAAAACTAATTTCAAACCTCTTAAAACTTTTTTTTTTTTTCTTTTTTTGGACAAAGAAGAAAAAAGAAGAATATACAGGACAGGTGGCTTGAAGGAGAGAGTCAATGGGGTTTGACCAAACAGACTAAACGGAGCAAAACCGTTTCTCCAAACTCTTCGGCATATAATGGTTTGGTGGGGTCCTAAGCGTGGCTACCTCTACCAAAGCTTTTCCACGTCAGCCATTTTTAAAAGGCTTCTTGTTTTTTTTTTTTTTTTTTTTTTTTTTTCTCTTTTCTAATTTTTTTTTTTTGTGTGTTTGCAAACATTTTTCATTATATTGCAAACACATACAAAATAAAAGATATTTCTTGTGATAATATTTATTTTTCCATGCTTTTAGATATTTAATAATCTAGACACAGCCATGTATTAGATGCAGATTCCCGTTTTACCATTTTCAAAAGAGAAAAAAATAAAAGTTGAGAGCCTTTAATTTTTAAGAATATTAGTCGATCAATATATATGGACGTCGTCTTTTGGAAGAAAAAAAAGGTAATGATTCTTATTGTCCAAAACCTCACAATTTCGATCAAGTTGCTTCTCATTTCCTTGATAAATAAATGAAATTAAATCAAACCTTGTAGCTATGCTTTATTTATATCTTCATTGTAGATATATAAATGTATCTCTCATCCCAACCAACCAATTCCTCGAACTTGATACTTGATCAGTAATGCTTTCTTTTTCCTTTTCTCTAGAGAGTTGATCCAATCATCCACGCCTAATTATTACATGAATCTAAAATAAACAATAGTGTTATTTACTACTCCACGATTATTAAAATCACATGGATACTATATGCCACGATTAACTATATCGATGTTATGTTTTAATCTTAGTGTCATGATATTATTTCAGGCCAAAATGCGCCCAATCATTGAGAACTTTACCATGATTTAAGAAATATTATAAAGCAGAGGCTATTAAGCTACATGAATATGTTTACTTGCTTGTATTCTTGTAAGTAGCTCATATATCTAAAACAATATATATCAAATTGCAGAATAGATAAGAATCAATATCTACATAATTATACGATCACACAACATGTAAGTTATTCCTTATGTCACATTTTGATTCCTGTAAAATATGGTTTATGTCAAATTATGTGCGGGAAATGTCCTTTGATGATAACTTTTCGACTTATCCATGTAAATGAGGGTTTTTATTGGAGAACATTTGAGAAATATATGGAGACTAGCTAGCTACAAAACTGGTAGTACAGGAAAAAGAAGAAGAAAATTAAAGAAGGAGCACGTTCAAACTTTAGCAATCATCGATATCTATGATGAGTGTGTTAAAAGTAGAATGTCTTAGGTTACTCTTTATAATCTCCAAGAGTCGCCAATCTACAATGTGGGTGGCTTCTCTTTATATCTTCAAGGCCTTCGAGCCTTTAATGGACCGACACTTTTTCGATAATTAAAGCTACGAGATTGATATGATCTTCTTTTTAACATATCTGAATTTCAAAGACATACATTAATATTTATCATCGCACCTTGTTAATTTTCATGCAATTCGAAGTTCAGTGTTCTGCTAATTATGAAGAATCGGTAAAGGAAATAACCTGGTACGTTTTAACTGTGACTCCATATGTATGAGTTAAATATTGTCGTCGTTTCTAATTTATATGTCTATGTATACGCCATTGTCAATTTCTCATATTGACTTCATATCTTCATTCAAAAGTATAATTTATTTTCAATCTCTTGAAATGCATATTAGCATATATATATTACACTCGGTGCATGAAGTGATGTAGATATTTTGGCTTTTATAGAATGATCAAATAAACTCTACTAGTAGTATGATGAGAAAGATAAACCTTTTTCTAGATCGTGTACATATGTATAAATTGGAATCGCTCGACGGATCTGAACGGAAACTAGTTGGATCGATTGCGACATCTTGTAAAGAATTAAGAATGGATCATAGTAAGCTTCGCGTTGGAGTTTTTCACTTTCGACGTGTCTTGCATTAATATTAACCCTAAGCACTCTCTTTTTTTTTGTTCTTTTGTGATTAAATATATAGAAAAAGAACATTAATCTTTATCTAAGTCGACACATAAAGTTGAGGGATGTATCCTCCGATTTTCTCTTTTCATTCAACCAAGCACGTGCCCTTCTCCATCACTCACACACTCACACAACACATATTAAACACTTACATATATAAAGTTTGACGTGTTATAATAGTTGTTCTATATATACTGTATCTCTCTAATATCTCTATAATTCTACATCAAAAACACATATATTATTATTGTATATACACAAATGGAAAAAAGAAAGTATGTTTAATTTATGATTTTAGAGATAAGATGATTGTTTTCCAAAGGAAAAAAAAAAGGAGATAAGATGACCAACAAAAATTTGTAGTTGTTGGTGACAAAAACAAAAACAAAAACAAAAAAAGACCAACAAAAGATGCTGCTTAAAGCTAAATTGCCACACTAAAATCGCAACTAGGCTAATCTAATAGGCCGATCAAACTCTTTTTTCCATGAAAGCTTATCGGGCCTGGTTATTAATTCGAATCACAGAGGTAAGCACATTTCATTTGCATGTGGCCATTTCTGTACGGCCCAATATGGACTTAAAAGGCCTGTAAACAATTATCATTACTGTTTATGCGGAAATTCAAAAAAAAAAAAAAAATCCTTTAAAATCAAAATTCCCTAAAATAAACACAACTTACGATTTTTGAAATAATCAAAAGTTACAAAAAAAAAGTTCTTTAAAATAATTTCCACAAACATCCATTTCAATATTTGGAAGTATGAACACTGTCTTTACGTGCTGAAAGAAAAGGATCAGAATATTTGGATACGACTGCTTTGTCTAAGTTTCTATATATATTATATATGTATTTTGTAAAAAAATAATATACTTAAAAGTAGGTATATATTAATAATGTACAAATGAAGTTACAATCCTTTGCCACATTTGTTGCTTATATTGTAAGATTCTTCACTTTATAAAGCATCGGACTTTGTGGCTTAGACCACCTCCAATGGTAAGCACCCATGATGGGTGTTTACCAATATTTTTATAAAAAATTGTGACAACTTGTAGTTTAAAGTGCTTATGATTTGCTTAAAACCTCAATTTAAGCAACAATTTTTAAGATTTTTAGATTGTTTTTGATTATATTCATTATATATAAAAATAAACAACCCATTAAGCATTCATTAAACACCTCCATTGGAGATGCTCTTATGTGTTCCGATATGTCCACAACGGATCCCTCTCTCTCCGCCCTAGATCGTCCACAATAGACGCAACTACCGATTCTTTAATTTATCGCCGGATAAAGTTTTTTAATTATTCATTTTAATATGAAACGTAATAGCTTTTTTTTTTCCGATCCTTAAAAAATAATAAACAAAGATATTTGATAGAAAGGTTTAGTAAATTATTATATACTTTATCAGCATGCATATCTTAATAATGTGCAAAAAAACTGATATCAACAACAAATCAACCACGAAATCGTAAAACAGAAAACGGAAAAAGACTAAATAATTTACATTCTTCATTAGAAATTTTAAACACATGGAAACTTCTCCGATTGGTCCAATGACAAAAGGTTTTTGAAAGAAACATAAACCAGTCAGACCAAAACCATGGAGGAAGGTTTGAAGAGAAACAAACCCTAGACGACTCTCTCGACAACTGTTAAAAATTTCAGTTGTAGAGATCAAGTTGATCAACTAACTTAATATGAGACATCAACATCATCATCATCATCATCATCATCATCAGACACTGAAATTGAAAGACAAGCACCTAAAAGAAAAAGATTAAAAGTCTTGTGTGTTTTTTTTTCCTTAAGATTCGGACAATTTGCTAATGGCATCCCAATCAATCTCCACAGAAGGAAACTTCTCCAGCCCGAAACTCCCAAACTCATCAAATCCAGGATCCGAGAAGTCCAAGAACGTAGTATTAGTTATACACGATTCCGGCGAAGAAGATTCCACTTGAGACTCATCGGAAAACGAATTCACGACGGATCTCAAGAACCCATATTCAGTTTCTTGATACTCTGTTTTTGGCGGGAACAGCTCTGTTTCAGAACAGGGGAGATGATGATGATCGTCCTCTGTTTTTCTCAAGCTCTGGCAAATCGCCTGGAGCTTAGCGTCGACAGAGGAATGGAGAGGATTGAAGCAGCTGCCTCCTCCATAGTATCCATCCTCGTGTCTGAATTGTGGGAAGTTAAGCCTAGCGAATCCGCCTCGTAGCTTGTAAGCGGCTAGGTCGTAAGCCATGGCTGCTTCTTCAGCAGTGTCGAAAGTTCCAAGCCAGAGTCGGGTCCGGTTCTTGGGCAAACGGATCTCAGCAACCCATTTTCCCCAGTGCCTTTGTCTAACTCCTCTGTATAGCTTCTGAGTGGCCATGCTCTTCATAGGGACCGGCTTTGGGGCGAGATTTGGTGGGATGGTGTTACGTCTCTGGTTAAGCTGGTTTTGGATCTGGTGGATTTGGTAAGGTGTGAGCTGGTTTAGACCAAGAGGTGTGGTTTGATTAAAACCGAAGACTGTGTTTGAGTACGGGGAAGGAGAAGAAGAAGAAACAGTGTTGGTAAGAGGTTGAAGTGCTTTCATGAGCTCTTCTTTAAAAGGATCTGAGAGATCTGTGTTGCTATTGAACATATCTATGGCTGCCATGAAACTCACGTAAAAGGAAAGGTTTTTGAGAGATCGAAAGAAGAAAAAAAAAAGTAACAGAGAGGGATTAAAAAACACACCCTCTTAGTTGATTGAATCAAAATCAAAATCTACGAAAGAAGAACAATAGAAAAAGGAAGAGATTGTATACTGACAATGGGTGAAATAGGAATTCTATAAAGTTTTTTATTTTTGGCTCTCTCTCTAATTTTTATTTTTATTTTTTTGTCGCTCTTGGTTTCGCTTTGATGCGAAGTTGTTTGCTTATATAACCCGAGAAGTTAAGCCGCCCACTGAATTCATAATAACTCTTAATTAGTTCACCAGATTTTTTAATTTATTATAGTTTTGTTAGATACTTTTATTGCTATTCACAATATTAAGGAATTCGTCAGCTTTGATTAAAAAAAAGAAGAAGAATGCTTTGATTCCATATGGAGGCTTAGACAATAGGAAAACGACGTTCACATATTCTTCGGATCTAAGCCGTTCCCAGGGAATATTTTGGATATAATACGACTTTTAATTTATGGTGTATGTGTGTGTGTGAGATAAAAAAGAATCATCAATGATATAAAAATTTGTAAGTAAATAAAACCTTTTTAACAAAAAAAGAAAAGGTTGTAATTTGTAAGTAAATTGTTTTCCAGTTCTAGCCGATTAATAGCTTCTCATTTTTTATTTTATTTTTAAAAGAAGGAAATGTAATCATAGTATTATATTAGCTCTCAACAGTTTGAAGAGCATGTTATATCAATTAGGTTTACAAAGAAGAAAACTTTTAACTTCCCATATGAATTGTTGACTCTAGTTTTGGAGCTATATATATTCAATAAAATAGACCAAATAGAATATATTTTTGAGCAATAATATTTCAAAAAGACTCGTATAGAAGAGCCAAAAGTGATATATATTTGTTGATTCTACGGCAAGTTGAAAGGCCATTTTGCATTATTACCACTTATTTTCTTATGCCAATATATAACTTTATTTTTCTTACTAGTCGGTTGCCCGCGCTACGCGCGGGAGTTTATTATTTTGTTTATGAATAATTAGTTCGTATTTTATTTTCTACTTATTCTTTTCACTATACCATACTTTAATTTTTTTAAACTTAAATTGTGTTTGTATAGAAAAACTATTGAGTTTTAGCTTTATTAGTTGTTGAGAAATTAAGTGTTTATAGTATAAGTCGAAGTGTGGGCGTAAATGGAAGTGCGGATGAGAATCATTGAGAAACGTGTGCTAGTAGGGTTTTTACCAAATATAGATCTAGATGTTAATATTTTAGGCCCTTTTATATGTTGGCATGAAATTTGAACATGATTTGTGGGTTTTGGGCGGATTGTTATATTTTTAATTGTTTACATTATCTCTTTATATATTGTCATAATTTATTATTTTTTGTTTTACGTTTTCCTTTTTTGGATTTGTCGTACTTTATATCTCGTAATGATCATTTATATACTATTATATATTTTTCTGATTTTATGTTTTATATATTTTTTTTGTTTTTTCATATGGAACAATTTTTGAATTTAACATATTAGTATAATTTACTTTATATTTAGTTTATTTCATTTAATAATGCTTTTTATTTTAATTTTCAATTTTATGAAATATAGTTATTTTTTTTATTTTGTTTATTAGTTTAACATATGTGTTGTATTGGGAAAAATAGTTAAATTCATATTGGAAACTTTTAAAGAAATATTATTTTTATTTTTACATTTTTATATGTTTATAAAAAATGAGAATTCATGTTTCGGTCCGACCTATCTCATTTATGTTAGAAATTTTTTTGAGACATAAATTAGATAGATTTATATTCTCAAAATTTCTTACTTTTTGCTCTATTCCCGTTAAATCCAATTATATTTAGGTTTACATTGTGTAAATATAATCATATATATATTTTAAACATTTACTAAAAACTATAATCTATTATTTATATATTTGTTAGTATAATCGATAATTAGTAAGTTTTTTTAACTTTTAATCAATTATCTTTTTTAGTTTTATAATGTATAATATAAAAAAGACCTTTCATATTCATTTTTGAAAAAACTTATTTACATAGGTTTAAATATTAAAATTAAATGATAAAATGGTATAATTAATTTTTAAAATTAAATAATAAATTGAGATGGATGATGATGTGGCTTAAGGAGAAGAAAGAAAAAGTTAACTTTATATATATAGATATATAAATAATAAATAGTTTATATTATTATATTTATAACTCATGTGAATAACGACGGGGGAAAAAGCATGGAATCATTACTATATATTCATGCAAACAAAAAGAAGAGATCGCAGCAAACACATGAGAGAATATTGGTGGTCATACTCGTATTCCAAATTCCTCTTAGGTGTGGTCCATTTCCAGAACATTTGACATAGAAGCAAGTAGAACTCTTCATTCGACCATTTGTGGTAAAAGTGGGGAATATGTAAAAAAATATTAATAAACTTGAGGGATCATTTTTGTAAGCAAAAGAAAAAAAATCAAAAGAATGAGAGGGAGAAAGTCAAGAAAGCTTATTATTTGGACGAGACTGGGGGAAAGAGGTGAGAACTCAAGTTTGCGTCACAAGGAAGCTATTCGGATCCTTTCTTCACCTTATTTTTTTTATTTTATTTTATAAATTAAGTATCTTTATAGTTACTTCATGCGAAGACTCTTGAAAGGATACAATTATAAAATCTCCATTTTATTGTTATGATAAGATTAAGTTGTGTTGTTTTGATAACAAATTTTCGCAATGAATAATGGGAAAGTTAGGTGATGCAGAAAGCTTTACACGGATAAAGTAGCACTTTGCTTACTTGTAAGATTGTTTAAGCCTCCACGTTTACTCCCAATAATAATAAGAGAATCGTTTTATTCCAATTTTTTTAGGCATTTACTGGTGAAATTCAAATTCAGGTTATGTCAGTAAAACCTTCCACGTCATTTTATTCACTTTCGAACCAACCGTTATTACGCGGAAATAGCCATAATTAATTAATTTAGAGAATTTAAAAAGAAAATATATATATACTCACTCTGGCGTGTTCACACGTAGGATCTGACAGCTGACAGAAGGAGAAGCTAAAGTCTTTTTGATCTGATAATCAGATAATCGTTAATCTTATTGGTAAAATTAGATCATTAACGTAGATTTCGAATAATTCTCTAAAGTATGTTTTTGAGATAAACTCGATTACACGTCATATAAAAAAGTATCCGTTACATTCTTTAACTTTCTACATTTTCTTTTTCTTTTTAAGTGCTAATCGTTTAAATCTAATGGCCAACGGGCAACGACACGAAACCAATTCTTCACAAGAACAAAGAATAATAATACTCATCCGAATCTGTATTTCTTAAACTGATTATATAACCAAAGTTTTCACATGTGACATGTTGATTGATGATGATTATATATATGCATGTTTTTTGACCCATTTAAAGGCAGCACCTCTTTATTAGACCTCAACTATCGTATACGTTCGTAATAGACCAGCCAATATATTAAAACGAACATAGCCAATTTGAAGATTCTCTATTTGTAAATTGAGGTTTATGGATCACGTTCGTAACTGATGTTTTGTTGTATTCGGATTTTTTTCATACGTTAGATATGTATTTGATATGATTATATACTATACTCAAATAATAACTCGAAGAAACCATATAATCATTGTTTGCACCGCTGGAGTGGACTACCTAAGTTTTTTTTTTTTTTTTTAAAAAATATTTAATCTACAAGTCAACCCACGAAGTGCATATGAATTACTTAAGTAATGATTTATATATAATCGACGACAAGATCATGGTGGTTTAGTGTGGTCACTTAACATACACGACAAATTTGAGTAATTATTATTATATAGCTTCGGATATTGTTTTCAATTCAACCAAACTAGTTGACTTTTTAATAAATGTCAACTCTTCCTCCACAATTGGAGGTCAAGATAAGATCAAAATAATGCTATAATATATTCGCTGACTGTGACCAAAAGTTTGTGACTACATTCTTTTCAAACAAAGATATTATTATTATCTGGATCTAAACTAAACTAGACTCTTTCCAATAACTAAAACAATTTTGGTACATTTGAAAATTTACCGTACTAATAAAGATGCACAAGTAAAACTGATCCATAAACCGTTTATAAATCAAATGATCAAAAGACTAAAATCAAGTAATAGAACCAAAATCGGTTAGTTTTTCCATCACTTTGTGAAATTTAGTATCAACAGTGATTTTAAAAAACAAAGTTGAATCCACTACAAATGTTAGTAAATATATCAGTTGCACAAACTTTGGGGATGGAGTCTCTTAGACAAAGTTCTAGTTGACGAATATCTTAGAAAGTTGGTGTGGAGATGGCTGACCTATCACAACGACTAAGGTGAAAAAGGATGTGAGGTTAGTTTGGCGATCATATAGTAATGCAGTTCGATTTAAAACATGTGTACTATTTTTGTGTGTGTTAGATCTTATTTAAAAATAGCCTTGACGACTGTTTTTACGGAATTGTGGTCAGGAAAGAAAATAAAAATTCTTTTGGGCTTTATAGGTGGGGGGTGTATTCAAAGTGGAATTTCAAGTGATTTGTTAAAAGTTTACAAATCCAGTATTATTCAATCATGAATTTTAAAAAGTCTCATGAAATCCAGTGTTATTGAACTAATCATTTTAAAATTCACCTTAAAATCCACTGTTATTGAAAACAGTTTGTGGATTTGATTTTAAACTAGTTTTGAACCCGCGGTACACCGCGGGATAATATGTTTAAAAAATATATAATAGTGTTAATTTATTTTTAATTGTAAAATATAGATGTCGTGATTGACAGATATCTACGTTCAAAATTGCGGAATCAGTTGTTTAGTCGATTAATCGTTTTCTAGTTTTCAGTAAAACTTTAGTTTAAGAGTATAAATAGAACTGTCAACCAAACCGGTCTGTTTATGTCTGTAATTCCGTTGTACTGGTTTGCAAGATCCGCTGTTTAATAGGCCTAATTTTTAGTGAGCATACCCGCTTTATCATAGTAGTATTTGGGCCATGTTTGGGGACTGAAGGCCCCCTTTACACCTCTAAATATAAGTAGCAAAAAGAATACAAACTTGTACATCAATTCATTATTCCATCACACCTATTAATACACCATGAGATAAAACTTAAAACTTTTAGTTATTATATTTTAATTTTAATTGGTTTTAGAATTCCTGATTATTTAATTTTGGGTTTAATTAACATATCATTTTGTTTGGACCTTTGCTATAGCTCCGAAACAATATATTTTCCCTTCCATTTTATATAACTTATAACTTAGAATGTGTTTATTTTTTTACTAAATTTGTAAAAATTCGTAATCTGTTTAAATAGTCAGGTCGAGTGTTTCACTATCCCAGGTTTTGTTCACTAATTTGTTTCAGATCTTAGCTTTTGCTTTTCGAATTTCGTTTCTCAATTTCACATTATTTTCTCACATATCATATCTTATCCCCTTAATAGAAATATCAAAATCTCAGACCCAAGGAGAATCAAATTGTATAATCATAGATGCTATTGTTTTATCTTCAGAAACGTTACAGTTTTTAAGCTGCAAAAAAATAAAAAAATACATGTCAATATGATGATTAAAATATATCTTAAACCTAATTGATATATACTAATACACATAAAGTATTTGATGGAATTTGTTAAATTCATTTTTTTTTTCAGATGAAATTAGCGTTAAAAAGTACATCAAACATAAAACTTGTCAAAAATAAATTGAAATAAAATTAATATTTATGAAGTAAACTTAGTAACTTACCTTGAAACATTAGAATTTGTTTAAATGTACGTTTTCTAGCTTAGTTTTTCATTTCTCATCACTATATAGAAAAACATAAGATTAGTTTACTATCATCGATAGTAAATTCCATGAATTATTATATTCCTTAAAAAAACTCACCGTTCTTGCTTGTGTATGCTGCCATGAATGCATGATCTTTCAACCTAGACTTGTCATCGTTTTGATAAACAACGAAGCATCAATCAAAATTTTGAGGAAGCTTTTTGTTGTTGTAAGAAAGTAAAATCTCTAGTATTTGCTTTCTTTAGGTCTATTGCTAGATTATTTATATATGTGACAGATGAGTAGATTTAAAAATGAGAAAATCTTGCAATTTGAAGTAAATGCTAATATTTAATATTTATTGTTAAAAAAAAATTAGATTTGGTGCAAAGTTAGGAAAAGAACGAAACTTACTCCATAATTTTTTCATAAGATTATGCTGAAGTGATTGATACGAATCTTTGATTAAGTATATTGAGTTAATGATTTTCGATTTGCGTGAATGATTTCAGATTTGTTATTTATTAATTTGATCGGTTCAGGGGCCCAAATTTTTCAACATCCATCTCAATACATAATGGTCGTGGGTTTTAAAGAGTAAGAGTTAAATATTGTTTTGTTTTACTTATTTTTCAGGCCTTTTATATTAAGCCCAATTGATTACTTATGTTTTCTTTTTCAGCCCTATTAAACTCAGTGGCGAGGATCCAACTATTGCATCGGCGGGTCAGAAAGGACGCGCGGATCCAAGATGTGTCTGCGATTGCCTTTAACTGTTTTACAAATTTATCCCTATTGATTTTAGAAAAAGCTCTCCTTCATAACAAATTGAAGGGTAAATTTTGGAATTTGAAGCTAAAATTTTCTGATTTTCAATTTTGTACTCCTCTTTTAATATTAAGAAGATGATTTCAGAGAATTTTAGTGGATTTCAGATAACTTCCTTAGTTAAAAATATAAGAATCCAAATCTCATAGTTTTAGGTGGGATTTGAAAGGATTTTACATAAACCATATGAAGTTCCCTAAAATCATCAAAATCTCATTAAAACCCAAATCTCTTAAAATGCTACTTTGAATACACCCCCCCCTTAACAACTCTATTTCTTCTGTTCTTGTTTATTGTCCCTTTCCGAACAAAATTTTGCTTTTTGAAAAACATTATTATACGTCGATATGGAAAAATTTTGATTGGAGAATGTTTAGTTATAATTACATTAATACCTCGCTGGTGCATTGCAGTTAGAATTATTATTAGTGTAAGCAACTCTAGCTGCTTCACTTTTCACCTTTACATCTTCGTACATTTTCAAAGAAGCTTCCGAAAACTTTTTCAATCTCTCTAGAAGCTTCGCCAAACTCGAATGCACATTTGATAAATCCGAAACCAACACCGAACCACCTCTTTCTTCCCCCAACATCTCCATATCCAATGTGAACTCCTTGATTGACCCGCTGAGTTCATCCGCAGGAAGAGATTTGATCCCAGCCAACCAATCTCGACACAGCACGAATATTGGTGGAGCCAGGACACGCCGGGGGGACCAAGGTCTTCGGTTTCTTAAAGACCGTTCTTGAGGGAGCAAGACACAGTTGTGAAGCCAACCATTGAGAGCTTCCACATAAGAAGCCATACTGTTTACCAAATCTACAAAGCTTAGACCAAAACACTCTGATTCTTCTACAAGTTCTGACAAAACCCGTCTCTTGAGCGCGTTCTCAGGCACTGTTTTGGAGGAATTTCGACAATGGTAAGCCAGTGAAATGGTAATGTACTGTGAATGATGACATTCAAGCATTGCTTTCCACATTCTTATCAGCCTAAAGAGAGAAGAAAAGATTTCACAAAGACCAATCAACGAGAGTATAAATTCAAAAGTTAAAAGGGACATTTGTTTATTAGTTACTATACCCTTGAAGAAACTCTAAGAGCTGTGGCTGGAGCTCGTCGTCTCTGATTCTCTCAATCCGCTTTGAAATCGAATCAACAGCCTGAATCGCGACTCGGATTCTTGAATGAAGATCTTTAGCAGCTGCTCTTGTTTTATCCATCGATTTAGCGCTGTGATCCTTTGCGAATTGGTTTCTTAACTGCTCACATTTTCGATCATACTCTTTTCTAATCACCTCACTCGCCTGCAGTGAAAAAAAGCGAGTTGTGAACTTCAGAGCACAACACCAACCGAATTAGAGTCATGACATAAGATTTTTTATACCTTGACTTCATCATATAATTTTCTCTCCCACGCGTATAATCGATCAAGCGAAGAGGAGTGACTTCCTGAGATCATACAAAACTCTTCGATGAAATCACTTCCACTTTCATCATCATGATCTTCTTTTGATGTCTGGATCAATGGATTTCTAGACGTTGAGGATCTTGAAGACAATGTTCTCTTCCACACAATGACTTTAGTAACTTGATGACTCAATGACTCTACATTAAAGCTTAATTTAGAGACACTACAACTCATAACAAAGATTAATGATAAATCGAACCAAAGGAAAAAAAAACAGACCTTGAGAAAGTGGTGAAGAACGCTTCCCTCTACAACAAGCTCGCTTTAAAGCTGCAAGAAACGATATTGAACTCCCCTTTCCTGGTTAACAAAAGCACACTCACGAATCAAACTTCAACTTCAGTTTTCAAATCAACAGCCATTTACACAATGAAAACAGACCTCAGACCTGTCATATCAGCAAATCTGACTCTGATTTTGTTAGCTTCAAGCATTCTTGAAACTTCTTTCCCAGATTCAGAAGCTCTAAAGAACTTATGCTCTATATCTTTCATACTCGACACAAAGTCTTTAGCTCTATGTGTGATGAACTCTGATGGATCCTCTCTTTCACCATTCCCAGCTTCTTCATCATTATCATCTTCACAACTCTGTTTCCTCTGCTCTGCTTTAAAACTCGAGTCTTGCAAAGTCTCTGAGCCACATTTTGGTACATTCCCTAATCCTATAAATGCTGCGTCACAATCAATCTCGGTTTGTTCACTTAGCCCTACAAACTTCAAGTTATCTAAATCGTCACAAGTGTCAAAATAGTCCCAAGAAGACGTCTCCGGCCGGCGGGGACGCGGTGGAGGAGGAGAAAACGCCGGCGTTGTCTCCTCTCGATCGTCGTCGCCGTCACTCAGAGGGTTAATCGTGAAAGTCACAGCAGAATTAGCAGTATCCGTCTTCATGTAGCTTAGATTCACAAGGGGTTTAGGGTTAGGGTTAGGATTCGAGATATGACTCAGAGGCGAGTCGTCAGGGTAAGAGGAGTTATGAGAAGGGGATTTCTCAGGCTCGGTGGCGGTTAACGACGGAGATGATTCCTCAGCCGTATCCGCCTCCGCGTATTGACGGAGACAAACTCCGATGTTCCGGAGTGAACGGATGTATGACACGTGTGCGGCGGCTAAAGCACATCTCGAATCCATGGCTTGTTTGACAAATCTCTTCCTCTCTTTACATAGCTGAAGCGGCTCATTGTTCTTCTTCTTCATCGATGTTTTCGAGTTTGAACATCCCATTTTCTCGAGAATCGAATGACTACCCATTTCTTCAAATTGACGAAACAAATAATAAAAATCGAAACTTTGGATTTGTTCTTCCCTGAAATCTCTCACAGTGGTTACAAAACAGAACAAAATAAAGAACCCATTTGGAAGGACCAAAAAGAAAAAGAGGAGATTGATTTAGTCGGGAAAAATGACAAGTCTTGAGGTTTTGTATTTTTGCCTTTAATGGAGGTTGTGAGAATTAAGAAGAACAGAGTGAGCAGTAGCTTTCACCACGCGAAAAAGGAAGGTAGTTGGGGGAATCACTTAAATGAATATTACAGAGGAAGAATCCAAAACGCTTATTGAAGGAGAAAACTTGATAAAGGAGCTTCGCTCAGACAAATCTTGAGAAACAGAGAGAGAGAGATGGGTGTGAAGACATTTTTGTCTTGGTTGCATCGTTTTACGAGCAGAAAATAAAATATTAGTACTTCTAGTAAAAGAAAAGAAAAAAAGGAAGTGCAGAGATTTTAGTTCATTCCAATACAGATCATTACTCCAAAAAGCTGAGCTAGAAAAACAAAGTTAAAGCAGTGAGAAAATCCTAGCGAAAATTTCCAGATTCTCTCACTCTATAGATACTACAAAATCTTATTTTATGGAATATGAACGTGAAAGCTACACACTTTGAATATTTTTGTTTTCTTATCCTTTATTAATTTTGGTGATTGGATTACAAGTTACTTATTTATGGAGAGTATTTGGTTGTAGTACTTTAGTTTGTGAATAGACCGAGTAGGGAGGGAAAACCAAGTCTTCTTTTCCGGTTTAATATTACTTTTCTTCTTCTTTTTTTTTGGTGGTTTTCGATTTACACATTACAAATAATTTGGTTTCCTTGAATTTAAATTCATAACTTGGGTTTGTAAGATCGAATCTTGGTTATTAATCTTTCAAAATAATCCTTATCAAGATTGGATTCAAACGTCATAAGTTAGTTCAGTCAATGACCAGTGGATTAAGAAGACAAAACGAAACGCTTAGTTATAAACTCCCATTCCGTTTAACATAACATAATTGGGCCACCTAAAGGGAGAGAACTACTTGTAGTATTAATGTTGAATGGAGAATTGTGTATTTGTTTTTGGGTTTGAGCAAATTGCCCCTTTTCAAATTTCGAGGATCTCTCTCTCTAACGGCTCCTCGAAACGTGGGCTTTAGCCTGTAGTAATATATTAGCCGAGTCAAAACCAACTGTCATGTCAACAACACTCATGGATAGTAGTATTATATCTTGACTTTATTTTAGTTTTCTTTATTTTCTCTTTTAGAATGTGACAAGGGACAAGAAAGAATGGGAGGTTAATGGACTGTGGGAGATTTTTTTTTTTTCCATATTGTAAGATGGTATGGAGAATAATATAGTATATGGAGTATACATTAGTGTTTAATTTGATCCAATTGTCTATCAAAAGTTCAAAAAAAGAAGTAGAAGGTATGAAGGGATTTTGGAATATCTCTACACCAGAGCAGACCTTACATGAGAGGTTTTTGTATGGGATGAGTGTACTCAAAAGAAACTTTAAAAGAATAATTTCACAATCATTTACGGCGTGACCTAAATTATAGTATTATTATTAGGTGCTCATGTGCTAATGGACACTTATGAGTACACGCACTGTTCTTCTAAACCTTATGGTACATCATTCATGTAATGTAGTAATTGAAGCAATCTTGCAAGCCTTTGACTTTTCGTACGTATGCCTCTTAAAAGACCCACCCAACCACACCCAGTATGTTCATTAACAATATATAATGTCGACACTATTTATTATTGGGGGAAACTGCTCTGAATGATTGTACAGTATGTGGAATCATATGAACACCCAAATTGAAATAATTATATACTTTTCAACAAAGATCATCATATACAAAAATAAAATAAAACCCCTTACTCCATTATACACCAAATCTAGGAGATTTCAGTTTATAACACGTCCCATAAATAAACTTGATTTTTTAAAAATATGTAAAGTCTCTTGCTTTTATGGGCAACTAAAGTAATTATGGGTATATAATTTTGTAAAATAAAAAATTTCTTCTTGTCGAAAAATTAAATATAACTGGGAGAGAGAGATGTTTGGTGTCCACAGACCAAATATCTGAAATTATTGGCCTACCAATAAAGACCTGAGGAATAATAATTGAATCTTTAATCATATCATATAAAGTAATATATATGTCTAAAATTAAGCATAACGAGTAAATACGTAGGCATGGAATAAAAATATTCACAATTCCCCTATGATTGCGTGTATATTTAAACCGAGTGGCATGGTAACACACAATTCCCCTCTCCCAGCAAAATAACAATCTAAATCATATAGAGAAAATAAAATTAGTTTTTTTTTTCTTTTCTTCGTTTTAGAAACAATAATAATAATATGTTGATTGGGAATCGACCACGGCCTCAAATGCAGAGAACAACAAGCATAACGAGGATCACCGTCGAGGTTGATGATGATGATCAGACCGCCGGCCAAGACTCTGACGTAGCTATGACGGTTGTAGACGCCGGAGATAATTACGACCGGAGGTTCTTGGGGATGTTCTCGCCGCCAAATCACCGGAGGAACAAGAGACAAGACGGTGGGAGATCATCATCACCGTCGTCGTCTTTTCTTGGAAACTGCGGCTTTTGCAAACACCGTTTAGCTCCGGGTCGTGATATTTACATGTACAAGTATGTTTCACATATTATTTAGTTACCCTTTGAATTTTGTTATTTTTTCATTTCTTTCTAATGCATCACGAACACGAAGTTATATTTATATAATTACGTAAATAATTAAATTGTAGAGGGGACGCAGCGTTTTGTAGCATAGAATGCAGAGAACAGCAAATGGAGCACGACGAAGGCGAAACAAGAAACCGCGTCGTACTCTCACCATCTAAATAAATATATATATATATATATATATTTTTGTATGCATGCCTCTCAAATTTGCTACTACTCCCCTACTACTATTAAGTTTGTGTTCGTCTGTTTTAACTTGAGATTATTGTTGCTTAATTAATCAGTAATTAGTATCATTATGTCAATTAATCCTCTTTGTAATGAAACTATCGTTCCTGTGTGTTTTTATTTATAAAAAAAATCTTGGTTTATCTAATTTTGAAGATATGCTATAATATTACTACTATTTTTGTAACATATGTTAACTAATTTTGCCAAATCGAACGAGTAATTTGTATACTAAAACAGCAAAATTTCAGAGCTAGTGAAGGTTGAAGTAAGCGCACCACGAACCTCGTTTTAATAATTAGTACTTTATAAAGCCAAATAAATGATCTCAACACCCACCACCATATGCAACTCACGGTAATTAAGAAATTAATAAAATTATGTTCTGAAAGTCACATCCTTTGCCGTATTCTATAGCTTGTTGTACATGAATAGTGACAGTGTGAATCATTCCTATGAGACATTATGAACTTTCTTGTGATAATGTGATATAATAGTTTTTGTCGAGAAATAATTGGTGGAAAATTTTGATACTTTTTTAAAAAAATAATGGATTTTGAAATGGAGGTCACTGTCTCGTGACGACGAAAGCGTCTGATGATTAATAATGAGGTGTGTAGAGTTAAACTAATGCGAACACTCGTCACACATCGATCAAAGCTTAGTGATGACCTAACCATTTGCTATTTTATTACTATATAACAGAAGATAATTTAAAGATGTAATAAGAAAATATTTATACATACTAAAAATTTTAAATATGTCGTGTGAAATTTTGTATATGCTGTAAAAAACCATATGCATGATGATGTAAAAAAATATGCTATAGAAGAGTTTGTGTATGTTTTAAAATAGTTTTGTAGATTTAATATATCCAAAACTGAAGACTTTAGAGAAATAACCGGAAAAACGAATTGAAGATTGTGCATGTAAGTATATTAATGGGTTGTGGAAATGGATAGTTATCACTTATCAGTAGATAGGATTAGGTTTATAATTAGTCTATAGATTATATAATTTGTTTTGTTTTTTGCTTCCAAACTTCAAGGCTTAGTTGTTGGAGTTTCCGGAGTCATCATATTTTGTCTTCATTCCTAATTATTGATTACTTAATTATCGATAAATATATAAACTGAAGGGAAATAACTAGATTCATTTGGTATTAGGGTATCTTTATTCTTTAATTAAATTAGTCCTCCCACATATATATTTAATTTGAATTATTTGGTTCATCAATCTCTTAATTTTATTAATAAAAACTCATTGAGGTCATTGATGAGCTATGGTATTATTTAAAATTCTTTTCAATGGTTTCTGAATCAAAGAATCGGTCCATACTTTTTTTTTTATCTGTTCCTCCAAATTATACACTTGAATTTAAGTATATTTAAAATAGAATAATTATGAAAACGACAATTACGTTTTAATTAAAATTTGCGCTTGCCATTAAAAACTAAGACCATGATTATCAAAAGGTTCTTAAAAACCTCTTAATCTAAGAAAAGTGATGAAAAATGAAGAAAAGTTAATATATATCTCTTGTATAAGAGACTTCTTTCACCTTTTCTTAACTTTGTTCAGCCTAAAATTTTCCTAAAAGCCTACCAATAATGATGCTCTTATATGTAATTTTCTTGCCATACACTCGTAGACCAATATTGGACCGAAACCATGAATAATTATCTCGAAACATATTGAAACCGAATCATAAGCGAAACTGAAATTATATTCCAACCTAGAAACAAGACTTGCAAAATATACCAACCCATTCGGATTACTACAAATACAAGTTACTTCACACCCTACAGAGATCAAACTGAAAGCTCTTCGATCTCTCAGAAACACAAGCTTTTCATAAATTTAAACATAAAATAAAAAAACCAAACAAAGACACAAATTATAGACTTAAATTATGAGCTATTTGACGGTCTGAATCACTTCTTCTTCACTTGTATTCCATGATCATGTTATTTTCCGGGGCCAGCCCAACGCACGCCCTAAAAATGTTCTCCAGCATAGCCCGCTGCTTCGACAGCGCGTTGACCACCGGAGTTCCTGGAGGCACTAGCGGCGCCTTGGTGAGGTAGCTGAGTATGGTGGCAACAGGATGGAAAGAATGAAACTTCCCCTGCCAGAAAAAAAAAATAATCAAAACATCAAAACCCTGCTTAATCAAAATTGAAAACCCAAATAACCAGTATTGTGAACTCACGAACCTCTCCCTCGGATTTGAACTGGATCCTGGTGCTGAGCTCCGCGAGGAGAACAAGATCCAAGATGATTGGAGCAGCTAAGAGAGAGTCCTCGCAAGTATTGTGCATCACGATTGTGTTCTTCCCTCCCATGAATATCTCTGATGTATACTCGTCCATCGCTCGCTTGCTATCCGCAACATATGGGACATACTGCAAAACAAAAGACACAAAAGGGATCAGAGGGCATTGGAAGAGAAACAGGTTTTGATTGTCTCTTTGGTTTCTAGCTTTACCTTGATGACAACAACATGGTCTGGGTGCTCCCCAGGCTCAAAGAGGATACCGTTGCTAGCAACCATATCATCCACCACATTGCTTTTGGAGATCTCCTTAGATCGAAATGTCTGTGGAGCTGAGAGGTTCATTCCATCATTGTTCCCCAAGTGATTGTAGCTCACAATTGAAGTAGGCTATAAACAAAAACACACAACCAATGAAACAAAGGTTTCTTTCTTCAGAAACAAGAAAAGAGTGACTTGATATACAAGTTAAACAAACCTTAATTCCTGCACCAACGAGGAAATCAACCAAGACAGATTTCATCTTGGTTTGACCACTCTTGAAATCATCTCCACCGATCAAAACATTGTTCTTGATCGCCAAATCAATAAGACCTACAAAAAAAAAAAATCACAAGGAGATCAGCGAAAACAGTCATCATGATTCCCAATTTTGAGTGATTGATGATTATAACTTCAAGTATATGAAACCTGGAACAAATGTGTTCTGAGGGCTTCCATTGATGAAGGGGATGCCTTCAAGAACACAAGCAATAGCATAAAGAGTCGAAGGAGAGATCTCAGCCTCATCCCTATCCACAGACTGCATGAGATTCTCCATTGTGTCGTTCAACCCAACGACCACATTGCTATAACGCTCTGTGTTAGCCGTCCAGAGAACCACAACCCTATCCACATTATTCTTCTCCTTAAACTCCCTAAGATTCAACATCACGCACAACACAAAAAAAAAAAACATCAAGAAAAACAGAGGACATTTGATTCAACAAGCAAGAAAAAAAACTCTGTTTTAATCACTATTGACAGTGTTACCTCATGTCCTTGATGATGTGGTCGACTTGTTCCTTCTTGGTACCGTTGATCACGTTGTTAGCACGTGAGCCTTGATTGGCAGCTATGAAATCAGGATCATAGATCCCAGGGAGTGGCACAATGTTCTCCATGTAAGGCCTGAGCTGTTTCTGCAAGTCAATATCAAGAACCTTGGCTCTAGCCATGGCATCTGCTAAGTTCATATCACTTATATCCCATCCTCCAAACACAACATCATCCGGGTTCACCTGTTTTTCCAACAACAACCCCCAAATAAAAAAACACACAATGAGAGAAACTGTCGCAAGATTTGTTTTTATAAAAACCAAAAAAAAAACGGACCATTGGAAGAAGACTCTTGAAAGGAGCATAGATCTCTTCACCGTTAAAGGATCCAACACGAATCGATGACGCTTGAGTTAGGGAGCCGAAGTAATTCGCTTGTTGGACTTTGTCTTTGGTAGCCCACGAGATTCCTCTGTTCATTTATTTCCATTAAATTTTCCGATTAGAGAAAAACAAAATCAAATATACTACCATTACATGGATTCGATCACACAAAAAAAAAGACTCACTCTTTATTGGCAATAACACCAGCGGTGAGAGTTGATCCATTGTTTCCTCCCCAACCCACAAGCATAACCCTTTCGAGAGAAAACACGAATTAAAGACGGAGAAATAGAGGAATCTTTCTGTTGAAAAAGATGGAAACTTTGGTTAAAAAGAAGAGTAAAATACCCTAATTTGGGGACACGAGTATCGGTTTTGAAATCGTATTTGACGGTCTTAGGCTTGACAATCCATTGGTAAGTGCCATTGTTGTTCTCATGCACAACCTCCGTGGTCTCGTAATCGTACACAGAGTGAATCTCATTGTCAGTGTACTTCACGTTCGGGCTCTCAACCTTGAAGCTCTCGATGAACATTTTTGTCCCACCCAAGAAGAGAAAAATAAAATGTATATATCTTTTGTGGGGTGAGTTTTCTTGTATTTGTGCTGCTTCTCTAATCAGGCGGAGGAAGTGGGAGTTTAAATAGACGAGACAGTGAGGGGGATAGAGACACGTGGCGTCATCCCAATGGTTGGGGGTCCCTTTTTTGCCCAATGCATGTATTGTGAGCTCTTGATGCTTCTAGTTTCATAGTGAGCCACACGTGTGGGTCTCACACGTGAGAGGTGCGGAGGAGAAGAAGAAAAAAAAAAAAAAAGTTGACACGTCAGATAACTGGTCCATAGACGTGGCGTCGTTTTGCTGATGATGGCAAAGTCTTTGTTTGGGGTTTGAAGGTACTCGAACAACCGTTAGTTACTTCCGTTACTCTCTCTCTCTCGCTCTTTCTCACAGTTTCGTAATAAAACGACAGTGTTTGTTCCGCTACAGTTATTGTTTCGTCGGTTACGGAGGCCAGAGAGTGAACAACACGAACCACGAATAGCTGCTCACGTTGGTCAAGGTAGGCGTCACGTGTAGCAATAGCGCGTGAGACAGTCAACATCGTAATTAACGGTCGTTTGGAACAAAAAAAAAAGATAGTACGACCGTTTTTAAAAAGACTCTCCTGTCTGTCGCCCGTTTAAATTGGTCTTGTGCTGGAATCTTTTGTTGTTGACTGCGGTTTGACACGTGAATTTTTCCTCCTTTAGTTGTTTTTTCTGTTTATTATTTGGCACTATACATCAAATTATTAATGTAATTACAATGCCGATGATTTCAGGGTAAATAATTAAATTAAATATATTGTTCTAAATCTTTATGTATATGTATATTGATATTAAACAAAAAAATATTATGACACCTTCACGTTTTTTATTACGACACATTCACATTTTTTCTGCTGCTATATGTTTCGTACGTGTCTTTCATGCCTTATATTTAAACAACTTGCATGGTAACGCCTGATAAAAATAACTAGGCAACAAATGGAGCAGAGCAACCAACGTGGGTTGTCCACTTGTCCTTAAAAAAAGGCCAAACTTGAGGTTTTTGGGATTTGACTAACGTGATCAGTGTGATGAGCGACCATACGAAACGACAAGTGATACGAGCTATTAGATTTGAAACTAATCGTTGTTGATTGTTGTTATACATGACATGCCTCAGCCTCAAACATGTAATTTGATTTGCTCTTGTAAATTAACCGGAGATTATTTCATTTCTTTTTCTGACTCTCGTATCACATGAACATTTCAGCAATGGTGCCATATATAAACGAATTTTTGAAAAAAAAATACATAAAAAATATAGTGCTCTGGTCGACATAAGAAGATTCAAAAAGTTGAATCCAAAAACTAGTTTCAATTTTATATACTGGAGTTGGAAAGAAATAAAATAGAAAAATGGTTTTGGACGTACTGATCTTGGAATGGTTTTAAATAAAGTTTGATAGGCATGGTTGTGGCCATACGTACGTTTGTAGATTGATTATTTGTTTCCCTTTGTGAGCTCTTTCCACGCCACATATTTCTCTTTATTTCACTTTCACTCTTCTATTTTTTGTTTTATCATATTTTGTATACATGCCGTTGATCTGTAGGAAGTTTCTCGTCAATTTATTTATGTCCAGCTTATTTCATGAAAAAGGTTATCCAATGTAATTCCTCAATCAAATAAAAGTAATCTTACATTGAAAAATTGTTATGCTTTAAAAAAATTATTTAAATTTATAATAAAAATCTTATCCAAAATTAAATCTTCAAAACGAATGATTAAATACGACAAAAATAAAAAATGATTAAAAACTATCACGATAAAATATAGATAAACTACAGAAAATACGACAAAAGCACACATATCTAACTATTATAATTTTAGTTTCTTTGTCTACTATCTGATTTGGTATTTAATATATTTAATTATATTAATACGTGATTTAATTACAACCATATTTTTTGTTCCGAATAACATAGACATACGTTACTTGTTTTCACGTTGATAACGGATAAACTATTTCCAATTCAAGCGGAGCAAGAATTGTAATTTAATTTTAGTCAGAAACTTATCCAAAATTATATGCACAACATATTAAAATAATTTCAATATTAAAAAAATTCACGTTGACTTATTTAATGTTAAATTCCTGTAAACAGTCTATCCAAAATTAAATTCTCAAAAATGATTACATACGACAAAAATGATGAAAAGCTATTATGTTAAGATATTGATAAATTGTAGATAATACGACAAATTATAAACAAATTTAGAGGTTTTTATGATTTTCTTGTTCTTTTTCCCATATAATGTTATATTAATTATATATATATATAGTTATTACAATTGTATTAGAACACATAATTAATTAATTAATATATTTATTTCTAATAACATGAACACATTCTATTCAATTCATATTGATAATGGACCAACTGTTTTCCATAAATGTGGAGGCTCAAGTTCATATAACAAGACCAATGTGATGTACTCATTAAAATTTCTGGTGAGAAAATAATTATAAGTTGCTAATGATCACAACAAAATATAAAAATAATTTTGTATTAAATATTTTGTAATGTATATAGTCAATGTAGGTACAGAAATGTGCAATACAACTCAATTCATGTCCTAAATTATAGAATAAGAAATTAAGATTAATTTAGGAGGTATGCAATAATCATCTAAGCAAAGAATGAGAATGATTGATCAAGCTTTGGAGAGTTTGACTGCCTTGGGCTTTGCTTAAGAGATTCTTCACATTTTGTGTCATCTGTATTGATTCAAACAAGAACGTTTAAAATAAAAAAACCTCAATTTCAATTCGTTATAACTTTAAGTGAGAAAAAAAAAACACTATACATTACCTTCACGAGACTACTACCCTTGGAGTAAGGCATTGCCCTTTGGGCTATTTGGTAATTACTTCGACTTCTTGTCATGATTTTTGAAGAGCTTTGCCATTTTCCTTCCAACTGATGGGGAAGTGTAGATTCCTGTATATTTATTTATGCGATTTATACATGTATACATATATATAAATGATTTAATTGTTTTATATATATTTTTTTCATATTTTTTGAAATAAAGAAATTTGAGAATACGACATACCAAGAAAAGCACTGTTGCGCAGTGCTTGAGGACCTCTAAATTCATTCGAACATCATCGAGACTCCTGCAATTATTCACATATTATGTTTTTCTGTTTTATCTTAAAAAAATGTAAAAAAATATTAACACAAACAAAAAGTATGATCAAAGTACCTGTGCTTTTGCTCTCCAAGACCAAAATATGCAGCCAAACTTGCCATCTACAACAAAAGAAAATTAGAGTTTTCTAATGATTTTTATTGTTTTATTAGAAGACCAAAATATGCATGCAGCCTGAACCCTTAGATTTCTAATCAATTTCTAAACATGCCGTAAGATATACAAAAACATTATTGGATAATGGTACCTTCATGTTACCGGCTCTTTTGCCAAACTTGTCACTTAATAACCCCAAAGAATCAATGATCCCTGAGGGTTCAGGCGCAGCTTTACCGATCTCAGCAAAAGCTTCTTTGATCCTAACGCAATCGAATCTTCTAATGTTATGACCTGCCCAAATCCGACCGTTCAACAAACCGTAGATCTTCTCAGCCACATCTTCAAAACTTGGTGCGTTCGTAACCTTGGCCCTCGTGATCCCATCTGACCTGGATGACCTTATTGAGACCACAGACAAGTCTTTAGGTTGTATTAGCGTTGTGAAGCTCTCCAGCTCCTCGAGTTTCCTTGGACAAACGATTATCGCACCAAACTCTAGGATGTGAAAATGTTGTCCCGTTTTGTTCGGTACAGTTGTTTCTAGATCGAAGAAAACGATTTCGTTGGGAAATGTTTGGACCTCCATGTCAGACTTTGGTTTAGGTTCGATTTGTTAATCCTATAAGTGGATATGTGTATATATTGTGGAATTTGGGGTTTGTGTTTCCTTGTGATACAAGTTAAGCGTAGGTTTGTGATGGAGGGTTACTCTGGGGATTATTTAGCTTCGTGGAGAAAATGTTGCTCTGTAGGGTAAGTAAGAATCTTTACTTTTCCTTTATCCAAACCAATAAAGAAAAGGGTTGTTATATGATTGGTAGATTCCTGTTGTAAGAGAATTGATTCCTTTGATATTGTTATTAATTTGTTTTGAAGAGGTATAGTATATACATACAATGTCCCCAACCTCAACCCTTTCTCGTGTTGTATAAAAAAATTTCATAAAACAAGAAAGTCTACACTTCTATTTTACTAATAGATAAATTGTATTGAGGACAATGGACAAGAGAGGTAGCTTACATTGCTTTCAATACTTGATTACCCAAAATATCTGTGCATAGGAAGAATTGAAAGAACGTAACATTCTTCATTCGTGATGAACAGCAAGTAGTGCAGAAATCGCTGTAAGAAGATGAATATGACAAAAACGAATGCAGGAAGATAACCAAGTGTTTTAGGGGCAACAAACCATTTGCTAGCTTACACAACAGAAAACTATAACGGATTTGAAGCCCGTAATTGCATCAACAACAGAGTCTCCAGCTAAGGCCAAACCCAGCAAGATCAACATCATTGAAGATAGAAACTCCTTGGCTAATTACCTTTTGCTTGGCTCAAAACCTGCAATTTTGAATGATAGATGATCAATTTGGATACCTCAGATATATTGTTTCACGGACTAAGAAGAATACATGATCAAGTTTCAAGGAAATCTTTGAAATATATGAAACCAATACACTGAACATATGTATTTGTTTGATTAGGTGATTCACATGGATTATGAATCGGGCTAGAGAAAATTATCTTTAGTATGTATTATCTACCTAACCAGATTGCTTCATGAATGGAAGAACAGATGAAATACCTCAAACTCTGGTACAAGATGAATCGAAATCATCGGGAGCAACACGTGCTATCCAATTGTTCAATGTCCGCTTGACATCAGTGTGATTAACATACGCCAGCTCATACATACTACACAAATTCACCACCAAGCTCTCGTTCAAAGCCGCGGTTGGTACTCTCTCCAAAGCATTCTCCATCACTTTTATCGCATCCGATAGATCTCTCAAGTACATCAAACAAAGGGCCTTATTATTGACAGCTATAATATCTGAGTTATCTCTTTCAATGCATTCGTCATACTCTCTCACAGCAGAAACATAGTCCTTTGCCACAACATGAACCAAAGCCTTATTCCTACCCACAAGATTCTTGAACTGTATTTCATTCAACAAGCCATTGCTCTTTCCTTCATTCAACATCTTCTCGACCCTATCAAACGTGGTTTTAGCACCTTCTATGTCACCAAACTGCATTTGAACAGAACCTAGTTTCGATATCAAAACAGGGTCTAAAGGATCACGAGTTATCAATTCCTTCAGCAAATCCAAAGAAACCCCAAATTCTTTGTGGCCTAAATGAAACCCTAGCAAGCAATTCATCACAAAGGTTTCTCTTTTCTTCCACAATTCCACAGAAGCATCTAAACTCTGAGATTCTTTGTCTCTGATTCGATCTCGAACAAAGTCAAGCAAAACGTATAACCGATCTAACCCTTCCTGGCGATTACCGAGCTTAGTCGGGATCAAAGCGTAGAGCCATCGTAGAGAGAAAGGAACCATGGATCCGTTCCGATTAGGGTAGATCTCAGGGAACGATTCGTACCTGTAATGCGTCCCGTCGAAATCGTGCAAAGAATTAAGCTCATGGGCGGCTTCATCGGAGCGACGAAGCTTGGCGAGAGCCATAACTTGGTAAGTGAGGTAAGTGAGATGCTCGTGAGGCTTTGTGAGGAGAAAGAGAGCTCTGGCTTGAGCTATCTTCTCGAGGATCGCTTGCCATGAGCCACGGGTCGAAAGCTCGTGGAGAGAGCCGAGATCGTGGGTTAATTCGTCCAGCGAGTTGAATCGTTCCGGTGGTAGATCGGCGACGGATGTGACTTCTGAAGAGGCTAATTCGAAAGTCGTCGATTCGGATTTAGCTTCGAGGGAGTCTGAATCCATGGCGGTTTGAACGGTGCTGGGATTGGCAGTGGCGGTGGAGGAGGGATTGAACCCGGGTCGGGTTTCGGATTCGGGTAAATCCGGATCCATCGCTGGAGATGATGACTCCGTGAACATTGTTTGTGGAAGAGCTTTCAGAAACACTAAGCAACCTGGTTTGGTCTTTACTTTTTTTTTTTTTTTTTTTCGTATATTCCCGAAGGGACGGTCTTTACTCTTTAGTCTTTACTATTTTTCTTTCATCAGTACATACCACATTAGATTATTTTTGGTATCTAATAACTAACTAAAAAAACTTGTCACAAAATGTTTAGATTTTTTTTAATATAAAGTTAATTCTAAAATTAGTACACAGGACTTTAAAATATACATATATATATATATATATATATATATATATATATATATAAGATATTGCATACAAATGATTCAAATTTAAGATACTAAAATTCCATTTTGTATGGAAATTGTCTTAATGTATAAATTAAACTATGATCTGATGAATATTGTCTAGGTTTTTACTTTTATGTATGTGAGTATGTCAAATAGGATTTTCATTTATGATCATATTAATTTTGCTCAAAATGTAGGATGACTTCTAAATGTAGAATTCAAGTTTTAGCATTGTATGAATTATAAAGATGAAATTATATATGCGATACATCCATAATCTCCCATATTTATGTTCCAATCCAACCCGCATTACACGAAGTCATCCCAAGTAAAATTATAACCTCTATTATAGATCCAGATCCTTAATCGACTAGTTTGTGGAAACTAAGGTAAAAGAAATAAATAATATCGGGGTCTATATATGTGTCATTATACCAATAAGGTTTTATTACAATAGTATACCCTTGTAATAAAGGCGTCAACATAAGTATATTAAGAACATAATCGATTATTTAGTTTAGTAACTTGCTAATTACTTTTCATAGGTGATTAACTATCACAAGTATCACTTTTACGCCTGTGAAGCCTTAGAATAGTAATAATTAATCCAGTACACACCATAACTGATAATCAAAATGCCGCCCAATGGAGCACTTACCCACCATGGTGCACTGGCGTAGAACAAACTTCCGAAGACCAACGCCACACCAAATCGATCCATACCGTAGGCGATCTTGGGGTAAGTTCGAGCCAACATCATGTTGGAGACTAAAATCATGAACGTCGCGACTAGGAGTATGCTTCCAATAGCGTTGACCTGATCTGAAGTATCTTTTGACGCGTGTAGAGCTGCAAGGCCAAAGTTTAGAGTGACCGTTATGGCCAATAAACTTATGTCATCGAATTTGTTGGGCTCTGGTGCGTTGTTAGGGTTCCTTGGTTGTATCTGCGGGAAGAGGTGGTAATCACTTCCTCGTGCATGGATGAGTTCCTCGCCACCTTCTGCCTGGCCGTTGAGTGGATGGTAACTCATGTGATCAGCATTCGCGTTTGCAGCCATGATTTGTCGGACAAGTATGTAGATGAGGAAAAATGATCCGATCATTTATGTGGTTTTTATAGGAAGAAGCTTGTGAAGATGGTTCTACCCTAAACGTGTTTAAATAGAGGGTAGCTTGCAATTATTAATTTTATTTCTCTTTTAGAGAATATATTTCTCCAATAAAATTTTGACATGTGAAAATTAAAGTTTTTAAGGTAATGCTTAGTCAGGTTGATTTTCTACATAATATGCTAAATAGTTGGTGCTAATATGAATGGATGTAATTTTGGATTTTCAAATACTGAAAAACATATTCAGTTACAAAACAAAAGTTGTTATATCCACTAGTATGATTCTGCCAAACAAATGTATGTGTAACTTTTCAAACATTGAAAAACTTTATGTGTAGAAAAAGTGTGTTATACTGATTCAGTAACACTTCTAATACTTTTGATAGTAATAGAAATAATACAACACATATATCAAAAATTCAAAGTGATATTTACTTTTGTGGTAAGTTTGAAGGAGAAAAAAAAATATTCTTTCCCATACCACCGTCCACACATAGTTTTTAATGGCTAGGAATTTCAATTAATCAGATAACTTTTGATAAACATTAATTTCTAGCTCTTTGATCCTTAGAAAACTTATATAAGTTCTAAATTGTCTTCACATTGTATTTTAATTTTAATTTTATGATTAGTTTATGGTTTTTCTCTCTCACCATAGTTTTAGGTTTTTGGACAAGTTAAACTTATATGAATATCCTCTTATATATTAAAAAAGAAGTACACATTTGACATTTCTAAAATATGACAAAAAATTTCCAAAATTACCTCTCAATTTCTGTGAAAGGAGAAACTTAATTAAAATTAACAAGGGTAATTCAAGTAAATTTGTCAAATCAATTGAAAAATCCGACCCGATTAGCTTTCGACCCGCGCGCGGACCCGCCAATTTATTCCACTCACACAAGGTACGTTCGATCCGGTGTAAAAACTATAAACTCAACATTTTTCCTTGGGCTTCAAAAACATCGGCGTCGGCCTTATTCTAATGGGCTTATTACTTTTCCTAACCAAAACCTTAAAGCACGTTACAGCCTATATAAATAAATATAATGATCGAAACAATGCAAACATTTCTCAAAACGTGGAGGAAACACAAGTACACCACTTTTTTTTTTTTTTTTGTCATCCACAAGTAGTCAACGAACATTGGTTTTTTTTTCTTTTTTCTTTTTTCTTCTTTTTTTTTTTTGTCATCGCTCAGATCTGGTTTTGGGTTTGGTCTTTTGAGTTTTTTTTTTTTTTTTTTCCTACCAAGTGTTTTTCTTATACCATTCTTAATACTTTTTTTTTTTTGTAACTGAGTCTGGTTTCGAAAACCAAATAAATAAATTACCTTTATTTTAATATTATATTTAATAAACAATACAGAATACAAAATATAATTTTCGTGACCTCACTCGATGACATGTATGTCTAAATTTATGATGTGTAAATGTGTATAGTTTTAACTTTTAAATCTATGTACTTAGCCGTGATCAATTTAAAGATGCTAACAAATCTTATAAATAATTAATAATTGTGGCTTAATATTAGTATTTTCACACATGTTTTCCGTATATGTATTTGATAAAATATCTACTGCAAATAGCTTTAGATACAAATAATATTCCAAATAAATATAAAACAAAACAAATACAGTATTAGTAACGGCTGTAAAAACTTCCTCATCTTTAAAAATATTAGTAACGGGTGTAAAGAGTTCATCATCTTTACAAATATTAGTAACGGCTTTAGATACACATTAAAAATGTTAAACCCACAAATAAGCAGTTGTCATAGGTTTTTCTGTGGTAGGTTAAGGATTCAATGGATGTTTGTCTGTTGGTTGATATGCCAGTTTCATGTCATTATTTATTATTAAAAATATAATGTAATATTTTTAAATATTTTTTTTACATAGGTAATCAAGTATAAATTATGAGAATATGTGATAATTTAACTTTTTCTATAAATTAAAATTATAATCTTTATAATATAATATATAATATTACTCTCAGAAAATATTATATTTATTTTGAATAATATTAAATTTAAAAGTATTTAGCTAAATTTGTTTGACCAATCCACAAATCCTCTTACACTAGCCTAAAGTGTTTGTGTTTTATATATGCTACTCGCGAATCAAACGGGTTAAAATGCTTATTGACCCATCGTATGACGAGTCTAACCCGACAGGCAAATCCGCTTTGACAACTCAATTACAAATACAATAACTAAATAACAATATATAGAATTTACAACTATGTTAATTATCAAGAAAACACCATAAATCAGAAACATATTTTTAAAAGTGTAGAAAATACATTATAAATCAGATGAAAAAAAATTCCTCCGCAGTATACCGCGAATTCAAACCTAGTATGTGATTATTAGATATGTCATAAATCTAACTTGTTTTTACATACAATGTAAAATAAATTATGTTTGTAGAAAAGCAAACATGATATTCAACTTGTTTTTACACTCCAAAAAATTATGTAATAATGGGCTTTAGACCTTTTATAACCCAAAATGACTGAGAGGCCTCAGAGTCAGATTCGGTCCAACATGGATCACCCTTTTCTTTTTTCTCTTTTTTTTGGTCGGCTACTGATTTTTTTTTTTTTTTTGATACAGAGTGAGACCAAAATAATATAAGAGATCACTCTTTTTCATAACAACAAGTAAGCTCTTTATATGTTGACGTGATTTTTCATTTTGGTAAATTGTAAAAGCCGTAAAATTTAGAAATCATAGGGGAAACCCACGAAGTTTAGGGACATTTAGGGCAAAAACTAAATATTTGAAAATGTATGTGGAAGAATCATAAATACAGAATCAGAAAACAATTAAGTTCTACTGTTTTGGAAATTGTGTTAGTGTATACAAATAATATTTTTATATGATTCTTATTTTACTTAGATGATTATATTAAATTTGTTGCATACAAATGATTTGATAATTTGATTAAAAGATTTACACTTTTCAGAATTTATCTTTAGTGTAGAAAAATAAACATTAGTCTGATAAAATTTTGTTTTAAGTAATTCACTAAGATATGTGAAATAAAGTTCCCATTCTCTTTATCAGGATGATCATATTAAAGTTTCTCAAATCTTGAACTAGAATTAATTTCCTTAGATTTTATTATTATGTTTTACTTGTTTTACGTTTTAAAATTATTTCATGGAAGTCTTATACAAGAAACGAAAGTCTATATATAATGCTTATGATGCAATTTTCTTTTACAATCTGTAATTAGAGAGACTCAAACATCTCTAATCTTCGTTGTGCTCTCCCCTCAAAGAGAATGGTGAGTGAGAATAAAGAGGAGAGTCAGACGTTGGTGATGGTCTTCGTTGGTTTGGGAATGATCGTCATTATTTTTGTTGCGATTGCAGGCTTTGATGAGAGTCGGCCAAAAATTACAATAGCTTCTATGAAATTTACTGCAACAGAGAATCCTACTAGTGCCAAGTGGGATTTACTTATCAGAACTCCCAGAGAGCTTCCTGCTTACTACACATGTATCGAAGGAGACCTTCAAGCTTTTATAATTCACAAAGATGTTGTCGTTGCTACATCATCCCCACAAAGGTTATATTAATAGTTTGTTGTTTCTAGGCAGCTAGCTATATATGAAGCACATAATTTACAAACTCGTTATGCATTGTTTCAGGTACCAGAATCTGCAGCCCAATTGGCCTCAGTTGCTTAAAGTATCAGTGGTTGCTTCAGAAAACGATATCAACGGTGTAGCTGGAAAATACATTTCTGATGAAATTGTTAAAGAAAGGGGTGAAGTGCGGTTTGCATCGCGGTTTGTTTTTCCCGATTGCAGAAAGAAAAGCAGAGGGACAATCACCTTTGCATGTAATGAAGCTGTCTTGCGGTTCGATTCGAGCTCTCGGACGATGGCGATGACTACGTCTCAGAGCCCAAGATGCGACGTCTATCATGCATGACCTCTACATTCTCTCCTTTATCTCTAAAAGTTTATGTATTGAAGAAACATAGGTTTTTTTTTTTAATGGTTTGATATTTGTTATTGGTTTTCATGCATATATTTTTTTAATTACATTATATATGTGTAAAAAATAAAATAATATGGAAGAATAATTGGATAACAATTAATCACATTTAAAACACTTTTAATATATATAAAAAACATATATACGATTACTTATACATGATAGTTCATCTACGAGGACTGATTTTTGTTCACTGTCCATAAATTCAATCCTCGTCCACAATATTGAAGAATCCACATATGTGATGATATTGTTAATTAAATTAAAGGTAGAGAAGAGAGAACAAATTAAGAGTTTGAGGAGAATGGAGCCGAGAGAATCAGAACATGTTTAATTATTCAATTTTCTATATTGTAGACTGGAGTCCCGTTGTACTTGTAGTAACACTAATCTTTTTCTGCGTGAGGAGCAATGAGTTGATATATTCACCTGTCTCATGTCCGTCCTCTCACCTCTTGATATTTAAATATAATATGCAAAACATTTGACCGTTGTAAATTGTGAACAGTAAAAAGTAAAAGTAACCGTTGACAGCCCAAATCATAAATAAACCAAACTCGTCCAAGAAAAGGAAACAACCAAACGCCAAGATACTCTCTCTGCTTCTTCTTCTTGTTCTCTCCTTGTTCGAAAACGAGAACCAAACACAACACAATCTAAATCCTTTCATCTTTTTTTTTTTTTTTTTTTAATTTTGTAATAAACCAAGTTCTCGGCAAAGAGAGAATCATCATACATGTATGTTGTAAGATAAGATCCGACATTGAAGTAAAGCAAGCCGTTCGTGAGTTCATTTCATCATTTTATTTTCTTGGTTGTTGAATGATTTCTCTCTCCCGTCCTCTCTCTGTCTTGAGCCAATCAAGAATGGTTTACTATGTTCAGTCCGGCGGCGAAGGAGGATACTATGATCGGAACAGAATGTGATTTGGGACCAGTGAAAGCGACGAGTAGCTAACAAGGTTTCCATGATTTTAATCAGCACACTACATAAATCGAATCATTCACCTCAGACGACGATGAAGATTAAAAAGCCAAAACAAAGTGTTTCACTGTTCCGTCGATAAACCACAAGGTTTTGTAACTTTTTCTTCAATTTCTTTTTTACATTATTTATTGTTTTTTTTTAAAAAAAAAAAATTTCTGTCTTAAGTTTCCATTTTTTCCTTTATTAGATGAAAGAAGATCTCACCGGTTTCATCAAGTGGTGGATATCGCGAGGGAATACGATGGGTTTACGTCCGGGCTTGATAGTGGGCTTTGCTGTGTAGGCCTCTTCACTACTCTAAATCCAACCCAGGTATTACTTTCTTCATTTCCTTTTCTATAATAAATTAATTAATTAATATATATATATATATTTTTTCTATATAAAACTTAAAAATTAGTTTAAATTGTTAAATTTTTAATAAGTCGAAAATAAACTGAGTTTATGCATCCAGTCCTTAGGATTTCCTTTGGTCCGTCAGTTTGGTGTTATAAATTCAACATGTTTTCACTTATAAAACATTTAACAATTTAACTAAATTTTAATGATTTTTTCTATAAAATAATTTCTTTAAGTAAAATTTTAAATATAAATTAAATATTTTTTCTTACATAAAACTTAAAAATTAGTTTAAATTGTTAAATTTTAAAATGTCGAGAACAAACCGAGCTTATGCATCCAGTCCTTAAGATTTCTTTTGGTCCGTCAGTTTGGTGTTATAAGTTCAATATGTTTTCACGTAAACTAAATTTAACATTTTTACTAATTTTTAAAGAGTTTTCTTTTCAAAATAGTGTTTGTCTTTAGCTAATTTTTTAAAAAAGAATAAATAATTTTCTATATAAAACTTAAAAATTAGTTTAAAAGGTTAAATTTAATACGTCGAGAACAATCCGAGCTTATGCATTCAGTTCTTAGGATTTCCTTTGATCCGTAAGTTTGGTGTTATAAGTTCAACATGTTTTTGCGTAAAATGAATTTAACATTTGAACTAATTTTTAAAGAGTTTTATTTACTTTTTCAAAATAATGTTTTAAGTAAAATGTTCTATATAAAACTTAAAAATTAGTTTAAATTATTGAACTTATTAAAATTAAACTTAAATTTATTAAACTTATGCATTGAATCTTTAAAATTTCAACATGTTTGGTGTTTTAACTTCAGTGTTTTAACTTCAACATGTTTCCTTAAAAATAATGTATGTACATACAGTATATATAAAAGACCCAAACGTATTGAATCTTGTCCTACTGATGATTATCCGCTATGTACTGTATATATATATATATATATGTCGATATTGACTTTTCTTAATATATGGTAATAAATTCTAGTAGATTTTTCGTTCTTATAATCAAGTTGAATTCATTTTACGCAAGTTGTTATATGCAAGTAGATTTTTCGTCGCAATGCAAAGCTCTGACTTGGTCGAAGGTATTCGCTTTCTTAACATATATTATTAGACTTGACCAAATGGAACGGTACAATTAGTAAGTCTTTTTAGTTTACTAAAGAATTTTCAGACCTAAAACCCATAATTTTCTCGGATAAGATTTGAACATGTTAATCAATTTTCTATTGTAGTTATTCAAATTCGAGATGTTTTTTTTGGGTATGTATACATGTTTTTTTTATAAAGGAGTAGCCAAGTCAAAGCGTTAACATATTATTCATAGTGACTTAATGCAGCAATGAGCTAAGGCAATAGTTTAGACTTTAAAGGTAGGAGGAACTTGTAAATATTGTAAGAGAAAAAGAGATTTCATATGAAGGTTCCGATTTGACGTTTCGAAAAGTAAAACGCGTTTTTAAAAGGCAAAATGTTTATCTGTAAACACATGACCTGCAGTGACCTTTTATTATATATAGATGATAATTATATATGTAAACACATGATCACACACAAAGAATCTCGATCGTTGCTCCATCAATAAAACGTTCCACCGAAATAACAGTTTCTTTAGCTTCTTTGATTCTCGGATAGACATACCAAAAAACACTGATGAGACCGAAATCAGACACAGTTCATGTCTTCAACCTTACGTTCCTCTGTTTCATTGCCCTGTTTTTTTCTTCCGCCCTCGGTCAGGGAAAGATTCGGCGATTCAAATGGGAAGTGAAGTACGAGTTCAAGTCACCGGATTGTGTCCAGAAGCTAGTAATCACAATCAATGGTAAGTTTCCAGGTCCCACCATTAAAGCTCAACAAGGTGACACTATTGTTGTTGAGCTCAAGAACAGTTTCATGACTGAAAACGTCGCTGTCCATTGGCATGGAATCCGACAGGTACGTAAAAAAGAAGACCAAAGAAACATATCAGAGTAGTGACTCGATGATGAGTGGCTGAAAAGACTGATTTATGTTTCAGATTGGGACTCCATGGTTCGACGGTGTAGAAGGTGTTACTCAGTGTCCAATTCTTCCTGGAGAAGTCTTCACTTACCAATTTGTCGTTGATAGGGTAACTAATTATAATAAACTCACATTTAAGTTTCAATCTTTCTTTATGTGCTTATATGTTAAATAACAATTTGTTCTGTTTTGTTTGTAGCCTGGTACATACATGTATCATTCACACTATGGGATGCAGAGAGAATCTGGATTAATCGGAATGATTCGAGTTTCTCCTCCGGTCACAGAGCCCGAACCGTTTTCGTACGACTATGACCGCAACGTTTTGTTAACCGATTGGTATCACAAAAGCATGTTGGAGAGCGCCACCGGTTTAGCATCTAGACCCTTCAAGTGGGTTGGTGAGCCAGAGGTAGCCTTTTTTGTTGATAACTCAAGACTCAGATTCTTGACTATTTTTATATTCCGTGATTGACCAACCTTAAAATATGTTGACCAATCTTAAGTTATGTTATTTGATGTTTTATCAGTCGCTTCTAATACAAGGAAGAGGAAGATTCAACTGCTCAAACGACCCAGGCTTACTCTCTAGAGCCTGTAACGCCTCAAACGCTGATTGTTCCCGTTTTGTCCTTACGGTAATCCCCGGGAAGACATACCGGCTTCGACTCGGTAGTTTAACTGCTCTATCAGCCCTCAATTTCCAAATCGAGGTACTTGCTTTAGACACAAGCAACCTTTTTTTTTTAAATGTTTCTCCTGCTTAGAAGATGACTGAATTTGAAACGACAGGGGCATAACTTGACGGTGGTTGAAACTGATGGACACTACGTAGAACCATTTACGGTGAAGAATCTCTTCATATACTCCGGCGAAACTTATTCCGTACTTATCAAGGCTGATCAAAACCCTAGTCGAAACTATTGGATCACCACAAGCATAGTCAGCCGTCCGGCGAACACTTCACAAGCAACCGCGGTGCTCAACTACTACCCAAACCACCCACGACGGCGTCCTCCCACGCCGGAATCCTCAAATCTCCAGCCGAAATGGAACGACACGCGCCCCCGCCTTGCACAAAGCCTAGCGATCAAGGCGCGTCGAGGATTCGTTCACACGCCGCCTGAGAACTCTGACAGAGTCATCGTACTTCTCAATACACAAAACGAAGTCAACGGATACAGACGTTGGTCGGTCAACAACGTTTCCTACCTCCACCCTAAAACGCCGTACCTAATCGCGTTAAAGCAGAACCTCACTGACGCGTTCGACTGGGGTTTCACACCGCCGGAGAATTACGATTCTGGTAACTACGACATATTCGCGACACCTCAAAACGTTAACGCGAAAACGAGCGACGGGATCTACCGGTTGAGATTCAATACAACGGTGGACGTGATATTACAAAACGCGAATACAATGAACGCAAAGAACAGCGAAACGCACCCGTGGCATTTACACGGTCACGATTTTTGGGTGGTTGGGCAGGGAGAAGGGAAGTTCAACGAGTCGGAGGATCCGAAAAGGTATAACCGGGTCGACCCGATAATGAAAAACACGGTAGCGGTACACCCGTTTGGATGGACGGCGTTGCGTTTCAGAGCGGATAATCCAGGCGTTTGGTCGTTTCACTGCCACATTGAGTCGCATTTTTTCATGGGAATGGGGATTGTGTTCGAGTCTGGGATCGATAGAGTTTCTTCTAATTTACCTTCTTCGATAATGGGATGCGGTCAGACAAAACGGTGATTTGTATATATAGTTCATATACAACACATTCATTGTTTAATCATTGAACATTTGATTTGATGTATAGATAGATTTTGGAAAGAAAGATATAAACACTTTTGATATAATTTACGTGTCGCAAATTTAGCAATTGTTTTTTTTTTTATTAATAATTTAGCAATTGTTTGGTCTACTTAAACTACGTTATTAAAATAACTATTTGCTTTAGATCCAATCCATCATTAGAATGGGGACAGTTTGAAGGGGGTTTTACTAATGGACCCAATTTAAGCCCATTTTAGTTTCAGGCACATGCTTAGCACATGGGTCCTTCTCACTCATTTGAGCAGATGGGAAAAAAGAGAGTAGCTTTTCAACAAAAGTCATTTACAAAATATCTTTATTTTCTCGTGAATAAATGGTTTTTTTATTTATATTTTTTTATAAAAAAGTAAAATTTTAGAATTTTGAGAAACGAGCATAGATATATTTCTGGCACTTATTTTACATAGGATCCAGCGATTTAGCGGACAAAAAAATTTAATGGCATGCAGAGTACCAACAGTTATTTAAATGTCAGGCTAAAAAAACTATATAAAAGTGGTGGAAAAAATAAAATAGAAAGGAATACATTATTCGCCAGTACATAATTAATTATAGAGGTTACATTAAATATAAGGTGCCAAGAGAAAGTCAATTGTTTATCAATCACCTCTCTAGTACAAAGTCCACATTCACATTTTGGGGATTTGGTGGTACACACTCTGTATTATTTTAGATCAAAGACCTTGGTCAAAGACTTCAAAATACATTCACTAATACCACTATCAAACTAGTTTACACCTCGGTTAATAACATTTATTTCATAGTTTTACTACCCTTTACTATACATCTACTGATAATTATTGATTTCGACATTTTCGAAATCTCTATCTACAAGATTCCTAGTTAAAATTTTGTCAGTTTCTATCCCACTTTCACCTTTTTAATAACAAAAAAAAACTCATTAAGTCAAAAAAGTGGTGGAGTCAAAAGTCGTTGATCGTTGACTTGTGACACACAATGGGTTAAGTAGACAAACAAAATTAGACAGCGCGATTCATTACTTAATACTATTTAATTGCTTTTTCTTTTCTTGAAAGCGTGTTTGTTATAGTTGCATGAATAGTTTACGTGTTTTAATAATTATCATGAATTTTAGAGGTTCACTAGTATAATGCGGTTATCATTGTATGTTAGTAAAATTGTTTAGTACTAGCTTGTAGTATTCATTCTTTTAAATGTCTTCGCAAGACTCTCATGATCACTTGCTGCTTTAAAGAACATTATAACTCGAACACTTGCAGTAGTAGTATGAGCGAGTGGAATACAAGCTATATATTGCATTATCGTCAAACTCGATCGAATTATATATAAAAAAATCAACCTCCTTATAAATACGTCCCATGTGACCCATCTCCACAGTCAAGTTACTACTGTTACGATTAGTCAATTACTAGTAGTATTAAGTATTAACGAACTTACAACTAGTTCAGTTATTAATGATTAAACTACACGAGTATACAATTTTATTTGCTTAAGCACATGAGCAAAAATAAATAAAACCAAAGCGCGTTGAGAAAGAACTGATTTTAGAAACTAGTAAAATAATAAAGTGTCGTTATTTTGGTTCTCCATGTGAGTGATCTCTCAACTTTCTCACTTTTGCATTAAATTCTCATCCCTTTCTTCTTTATTTCCTTTTCATGTTTCTCTTTTAAATTCGTTTTATAAAAATCACATTCCAACTTCCATCGTAATCAATTTAGACTCGATCTTTAATCTAGAAATCAAAGTAACTAAAGATATGATATATTTTGTAAGTGGAAAGATTGGTTTCTTCTTGACAATGGGATTCTCCCATTAAACCATATCTGATACTAGTTTGTGGGAGTAGTTATACTTAAATTCCTTTTGTGTTTCCATTAAAAAGTGTATGAATACTTTGTTTTATAATCACAAAAATGTCTCTTCTATATATTTATTTATTAGATAGCGACCGTTCTAATTTTAGATCTCGCAAATGATTGCTCTTGTTTTTTTACTCACGTACAATAAAAATATATATATTCAAACACATAGTTTTCCTTTTTTTACTTATTACCAAATACGAACAAACACATACAGTATATACAAATTTTTTTTTTTGGAGAATCATATAAAAACGAATTAGACAAGTAGCAGAGAGAATCTGCAACATGACGGTGAGGTTAAACAGTAGTGTACATTGCATATTATCAAATTAGTGAATTCTCTCTGGTCAGTGTATTGTTCACACACACAAGCACACTCATATATAAACACATATGCACACTGTCACTAATGCTTCTCTCTCTACCTCTCTTTCTTTTTCCTCTCTCCTCTCTTTCTATTTTCCTATATATTGACAAGCTTGCGATCTTTCTTCGCAAGATCTGTCTGAAACAGTGAGGGGAGGATCCTAGGTTTCAGAGAGCAAAGTAAAAATATGTCTCCACTCAAGTACTTGTGTTTTAGAAAGGTAGTCTTGTTTCTCTATTTCTTTCTCTTCTTCTTCTCTTGCTCTTCTTTCTTTGCCTCATCAGAAACCTCTGTTCACGATGAGCTACAACGAACACAACCCTTAGATCCACATTTCCGAGTGAGGAGATTGTTGGTGAAAGATCTGGATTCAAATGGCGGTGAAGATGATGATGAAACCATTCTTCCTCCTCCTCCTAAGAAGAAGAAGCTTACTGCTTCTGTTTCATCATCAACAACATCTAGTGCCAAGAAGAATCAAACCAAGCTCATTAAACCCATCTCATCTTCTTCTTCTTCCACCAAGAACCAAACTAAACTCGCCAAGACCTCCATGGGTACGTCTCACAAACTTAACTCCACCAAATCTTCTTCTAACACAACCAAGACCAGCTCCGAGCTCAAGAAGCTCAATTCCGGATCAAAATCCACAAATTCCGGAACCAAATCCACAAATTCCACAAAACCCGTTACTTCTTCGATCAAGAAATCAGCAGATCTGTCCAAATCAAGCTCATCCAAAAACAAAACCACCACCAAGTCCCCAAGTTCCAAGCTTTCTTCACCTCTCTCAGAGAAGAAAACACCATCCTCAAAAACAGTGACCAAATCGAAACCAATCGAGAAAGAAATCAAACCATTCTGGCTCGACGACGAGGAAGACGAAGATTTCGTCAGCGAATTCAGAGATCTACCAACCAAATTCCAAAGATCCCTGATCCCAGACCTAGAGCGAATCTCAACCACATCCAAGAACTACATCAACAAAGCCAACAAAGAGATCACCAAAAACTTCAAACCCTACTTCGGCAACAAATACGCACCAACCATAGCTTCCGTGGTCTCCTTCGTCTTCATCCTCGTCCCTCTGCTCCTAGTCTCCCTCATTTTCAACAGATTCAAAGCTTATTTCTCACTCCAGAAGATCCTAATCTTCATCCAAATCTACCTCTCGATCTACTTCTCAATCCTATGCCTCTCATCGCTCGTCACTGGAATCGAGCCACTCAAGTTCCTCTACGCAACGTCGAGCACCACCTACGTATGCTTGCAGATCCTGCAGACCCTAGGCTACGTCTTCTACCTCTTGCTTCTTCTCATGTACCTCGTTCTCGTCTTCTCTACAGACTGTGGTTTGGGCCTCAAAGTATTGGGCTTAGCTCAGACCTTCGTGGGCTTTGCTGTGGGTCTACATTATTACGTGGCGGTGTTTCATAGGGTGGTGCTGCGTCAGCCTCCGAAGACGAACTGGAAAATCCACGGTGTTTACGCCACGTGTTTTCTTCTGATTTGTCTGTTGTCTAGTGCCGAGAGGAGGAAGAAAGAGTACTTGGAAGAAGGCGGTGACGAAGGAAAGAAAAATTGAAATTTTCCCAAAATTTCATATAAATCCATTTTATATTTCTCTTTTTTTTTGTATTTTTATATTTTAAATTCAGCAAAATTTTAGCTGAGAAAATGCAATAGAAAGAAAATTACTGGTGGATGGTTGGAAACTTTTTTTTCTTTTTTTTTTAAATAAAAAATATTCAATTGTATGTATAATAAATTGATAAAATCTCATAATCTCATTAACTCTTAGACCACCATTATCGGTAAGATGTTAGGTGATTCTTAAGGTTTTTAAGATTAATTTTAAAGTTTAATGTTGATTTTTCTCAAGAGACGTATCTTCCTTAAAAGACGTAAACAAGGGTAAGAGACGCACACATGACATTATTGTATTGGTCAAAGAAGAAAAAGAAGAGAAAAAAAAACAATGGCTCGCGTTCTGTCTTCTCTCTTTTCTTCCCTTCACCAACAATCAATCATTTCTTCTTCTTTTTTTTCTTTTACCAATTTCAATCCTCCGAATCCCTAATTTATCGAATCTAGGGCTTGTGTAATCCGTTCGAACTCTAAAGGTGAAGAAACAAAAATCCGAGGCCACACGGCTCGATGAGGTTGTTCGAACAATGTAGCGTTTGGGGGTGCTGCTAATTCGCTCTCTCAGCTTTATACCCACGCCATGAACCACCAACGCGTCTCTTTCCTCGCCAGTGAACGTCGCGGCATGGTCTATTCTCTCTCTCTCTCTCTCTTTACCTTATTCTGTATCAAGTTTCGATTTTGATTTCTTGGTTCGATTAAAAAAAAAGTTGAATACTTTTCTTGTTTGATGTTGGTTGACTACCTTGAAATTTGAAGGCTTGTGTTTTGTTTGGTTGCTATTTGATTTCAAGATTAGAGTTATTGTTTAACTCATGGATATCATGTTTTGGTTGTTCTGTTTTTTTTTTGTCTTGTTTGTGCTGATATAATCTCTTTAAGTTTGTCCTAATTGAATCAATGGAGCGAGAGACACTCTGAATTGGTTCTTATCAGATGAACCTAATCTTCATATAAAGCTAATACGTGGTCTTACTGATCAAAGTTGTGGCCTTTTGATCTTGAAGTGCCTGCTTTTGTTTCTACTCAGACTAACTCAATTGATGAACTAGGGATCGTTGCTTCCTTATGGGGGCAGCACAACGTTCTTGGCATCATTCAATAGCGTTTCATGATATTGTAAATATGAAGTTTTGAGTTCTTTTGTTCTAATGAATTAGACTTTTTGTTTTACAGGAGAAACTTTACCAATGGGTTGTGAGACAAGAAGAACAAGGAACTAGAGTACCCACAATTGATATTATTACCTACTTGCAGGTTTTTTCCTTTGAAACAGTATCTGGTTTGTGAGTATACTTTGTACTCAAGCTTCAAGCTTGTGCTTACTTAATTGGTCTTTAGATTGATTATATACCACCTCTCGTGAATCTACCTTTGTTTGACTAGCTTCGAATACTACACGTCCAAAGTTCTTGAATTTGATCTGAAAAGTTATTCATGTTTACTCTTTCAAAAACATTATGTAAAATGAGCTTGAATATGAACCTGCGGAGACATCGATACCAATCCATGTGCAGGATTTCCATCAGTACCAACAATTCTCACCACCAAACGTAAATACTTCAATGGCTCATGCTCCTTCAAGTCACATAACACAACATTATGATTGAAACCAAGAGAATTATAAACTTTTTTAAAATTAAAATTTAATTTAATTTAATTTTAAAATAAAAATTTTCTAAGAATCTCAAATTAAGAGTTTACCATTAAACACACCTCAAAACTAAAAACAAAAAACTCTTACCTTTTCAAATTTAATAATAAACTATTTTTAAGATTAAATTCAAAGAACCTATTGATAATGTTGCTCTTACACTTTTGTATTTTTTTTAATTCCTTGTAAAACACAACTAACTGTAAAAATTACAACAAAAAAATGTGTTAAATAATTATTTTGCGGACGGCGAGAAGAATTAAATGTTTGTATGGATAATCGGAAAAAAAATTATAATGTTTTTCTTGTGGACATCAGAAGTCAAAAATTAAATAAGGGTGGGGTATCAACGGAATCGTAGAGTCGCCGACTTTCGTGAGACGGGGGCATTTCGGTAATTTAATGGAGTTACCGACGGGAACCTGGGTGATGTTTTATGACTTGTGTCGGTGGACATGTGGACGTCTGGTGAGGAAAAAGAGGCTTTTCTGTCTAATCGTGTTGCTGTCTGGGCCACTCATTTTCTCAAGCCCATCACCTCGCCTCGTTTTGTGCCGGAATGGTGTGTTTCAAACTTCACTGACGTGTAATATTATTTATACAAAATATGATATGAATATGAACTAAACTGTAAATAGAGTTCATGCTTTGAATATACTGTATTTCTTACTTTTATTTGTTTTTTTTATTTCTTTTCTTTCTAATATCGTAGAAACAACCATTAGAATGAATTTGATGTTGTAACTAAAAATTATAAACATCTTCTCAAGCTTACTAATTCGTTTGGACATTAGCTTACTAATTCACCAAATAGTGTCACTCATAGACTCTGCACTTGTACAGAAACGTTATGATCATTCAGCCTTTTGCGTCATGTATGTGTAGTCAATTGTGAATTCGAAGGTTTATTGTACGATGGTGATTCACCAAATTAACCAGTTTAAAGACCCGTGAAAAATAGCCCACAACATATTTGTAGTGGGTTTTATATCAAGCCCATTTAGTTTTTTTTTTGTAAACGACTATCATCCGTTCACATTTGTGTAAATAGTTGCCATAAAACGAAAAATGTAAGGTAGTGTGATGATGTAACCATTTATCTGAAAAAAGAAAGGAAGACATCACACATTGATTTGTGTGCTTCACACAATCTCATGCGGTGTACAATTTGCTCTTCTCCCACTCTCACAAAATCCATTTCATTTGAACATAAAATTTGTTTCTAAACCTACGAAATTAATCTGTCTTTACTCTTTCACTGAACCATTTATTTCACAGATCTGATGATTTTGCTAATTTCACATGTCCTTCTATATTTTACCCGATGAAATTCAAACTTTTATTTTTTTGTTTCCAAACATGAAAATATCAATCAGGGATTTCTTCTTAATATGTCTTATCATATACTAAAAAAGTTTTACACTCCAATCACAATTTCCTTAATTAGAAAGGACAAACTTATCAATGCATGGTTTGCCGTGTAGGTTCATAGGACTCGACAGCTCTATTCCATTTTACTCCTATCGAATATTTGATTATTATCAAATCCTAATACCTTTAGAATAAAATCTGTGTACTTGAATACATATATAAAAAAATATATATATATATATATATATATATATATATATATATATTTAGTTTGACAGCATCTAAATGAATTTTTATTTATTTAAATGAGAATAAAAATGGGTGGGTAAATAAGAGATACAATTTTTATTTTCTGTAGTGACCACCAATGTAAAAAGAAAATATCTTGTAGTTGATAGTAGTCTTCGTAACGAAATCAAATAAAAATAGAACAAAATAAAAAAAAAATAGGCACGAGTAAATAAAACTTCGCACGTGTAAAATCAGCGTCATCATCTTCTCCTCTTCCAAAGTTTCGGCTCTCTCTTTCACTTTTTCTCTCTCTCTATCTCTCGATTTGGGGAGTTCCGTTACGGTGAACAGTAGTACGTCTCGTTGCCGTTGGTGACGGAGTCGGAATCAGCTCTCTCGGCGTTGAGATTCACATGGTGTTGATTTTGAGCTAGTGGGTGTTGTTCTTACGCTTTCTGATTTTTTTTCGAGTTTTTATTTCATATTTCTCTTAGGTTGAATTTCGCAAACTTACCAAGGAGGGAGATCGATTTAGCTTCTATTTCTTTTGGTTTTGTTTTCAATACTCCCGGAGGCGTTCGAATTGGTTGAATCTCTCATGCTGAGGTAAACTAATCTTCTGCTTTGTTTTAATTATATAATAATTTGATCTTGATCGTTACTTGTGTTTGTATATGTTCTTCAGCGTTGTTTAATTGTATAAGCTATTTGAAATGATCTGTGAATGAAGAATCTCTCGCTTTGTGGTTGGATAGAAATATCTAGGAATGATTCCCGAATCCAATTTTTTCTTTTCTTTGTTTTTGCTGTTTCTTAAGTAGTCAGGATCGACTTTGCTGGGTTCTTAAACTATATATATTTTTTTTTAATTTTTGTTTGTCTTTGTTTTGGGATTCGAATTACGCGTGTTACTACTATACTTGAATCATTTTCATATTATTTCTTCTTGATCCTAGTTTTGGCTAAACTGCTGGAACGTGGAATCTAGCTTTGGGAGTTGATCACATTTCTTATTACCAGTTTTTGCATTAATATCTATCGTTACAACTTCAACTTCAATACTATCTTTTTCTTTGCTTTAGATTTGTTATATTTTGGCTGTTCTAATTTTCATAACCTTGGATTTTCGTATCATTTCAGGTGTTTTGTACACTTGTTATCAAGAAGAACCCAGTTTTGGTTCTGATAATCGTTGTCGATTGGAAAAAAATTCACTCCCAGCTATGCCTTCACTCCAATTATTGCAGTTAACTGAGCGGGGTCGGGGTCTTGTAGCCTCAAGACGGTAATGGTTTCTCTGCTCTTAGTTGTCTTAACTTCTTCGCGTGTCATCTTTTGCCGTGTGTATATATCATTTCATTTGTGTCTTCTCTTGTCGTATGTTGAAATTCTGTAGGAAATCTATACTGCTTGCGGCTGGGATTGTTGCTGCTGGTGGAGCTGCTGTTTACGTAAAATCAAGGGTTAGCTCTCGAAGGCCTGATTCTTCCCGTCATTGCAATGGCCAGAGTGATGATGATGAGGCATTGGAAAAGCTGACAGGAAATGATAAAAAGGCAAAGATAACCACGACAAAGAAGAAAGGGGGAGGATTAAAGTCTCTTCAGGTTCTGACTGCTATTCTTCTGTCTCAGATGGGGAAAATGGGTGCCAGGGATCTTTTGGCTCTAGTGGCCACAGTGGTATGCATTTCCTTTTAATACGCATTGACAATTTATTTGCTCAAGTCATATACAATTTTGTGTCTGGTGGTTTAATAAAATTATTTGATCTCGAGCTGTTGCAAAGCCCTGTAGATAGATATTCCTGGGAATTCCCAACTGCGAACAGTTGCTTTTCATTGCTATACAATTCTAGGTGTCTCATTTTCCAATCTGTTATTTTACATATGGCAGGTTTTCAGAACTGCTTTAAGCAATAGATTGGCAAAAGTACAAGGTTTCCTGTTCCGTGCTGCTTTCTTAAGGCGTGCACCGCTGTTTCTACGTCTTATCTCCGAGAATATTATGTTGTGTTTCATGCTATCGACAATGCAATCTACATCGAAGTACATAACTGGGGCCTTGAGTTTGCGATTCAGAAAGATATTGACGAAGCTAATTCATTCACATTATTTTGAGGTAGCCACTGTCGCCTGTTCTGAATGGTGGAAATTCAGTTATTTGGCATTTCTATATGCTAGTATTTTTGACTAGTGTGCATATCGAGTATACTTCACTAATGGAGAACACTTCAATATTCGTTATTATTATTTCAGAATATGGTGTATTACAAAATATCACATGTGGATGGTCGGATTACACACCCCGAGCAACGAATTGCCAGTGATGTACCAAGATTCTCCTCAGAGTTGAGCGAACTTATACAGGATGATTTGACAGCCGTTACTGATGGAATTTTGTATGCATGGCGCCTGTGTTCATATGCTAGTCCAAAATATATTTTCTGGATATTGGTGAGTCTTGTTTAATCTTCTATGTTTTGCAAGATTATGTTGGGTCATTATGCTCCATGAATCCGTTCACTGTACAATTCTTTTGTGATGCTATTTATTATGAACTAACCTGTACAATTTTTTCTGTAGGCCTATGTACTGGGGGCCGGGACGGCGATAAGGAACTTTTCTCCTTCTTTTGGGAAATTGATGTCCAAAGAACAGCAGTTGGAAGGGGAGTATCGACAACTTCATTCACGCTTAAGGACGCATTCGGAAAGCATAGCATTCTATGGTGGGGAAACCAGAGAAGAATCTCATATACAACAAAAGTTCAAGAATCTTGTTAGCCATATGAGTCACGTGCTTCATGATCACTGGTGGTTTGGCATGATCCAAGATTTCCTGCTGAAGTATCTTGGTGCCACAGTTGCAGTTATTCTGATTATCGAACCATTCTTCTCTGGGCATCTAAGACCTGATGACTCTACCTTAGGAAGAGCTGAGATGCTAAGCAATATAAGATATCACACCAGTGTCATTATATCTCTCTTTCAGGCGCTAGGAACACTTTCTATAAGTTCCAGGCGGCTCAACCGACTCAGGTAATGCTTTTAGTTGGATCTCATGCCAGACACTTAAAGGGGTATATATTGTGTAGCTTTTTTTTTCTGGAAAAGAATCTGTAGACATATGTTTCTCTTTGCTCTACTAAGAAGAGTTTACCATAAGCATAAGAGTACAGTTCAGT